TATTAGTGTGGTATATCAGTGATTGTGTGATCTCTGTAGATGCCATATGTTAAATAAATAATTAAAATCTGTAGGCTCCTTCAACTTAAATTTAACTGACTTCATGGACACATCCACAAATTTCCTGGGCAACACTGTGGAAATGGTTTGCTATAGTGGGGAGTAGCTTCCCCTTTTAGGAATAAACCAGCCTGATGTGTCTAATGGGAGTCATCTGAACCCTGATATCTAATAGAAGAAAAGAAGGAGATTCTGTCAGGATTTGGGTGTGAACAGTTTTTGGTATCTTGTAGAGTCCTAGATGAGCAGAGGGTGGCCTTTGGCCAGCTTGGAAATTCAATCTTGCAGCAGGAGCTAGAACTGCACTAATTTTGGCTATTTTTATCTCTGCCTAACCATGGTTTGGTGTATGGAAGCTTAATTTGCTTTTTGCATCTTTAATGAAGTCGTTATTGTTTGAGACCTGGAGGTGACTAGTGGTCTTCTGGCTCTCCCATCTCTCCCATCCCTCCCTCTCCCTCTGTAGCTGAGCTACAGTCCCCAGGTTTTGGGTGTTTGGTTTTTCCTCTTTGTATTTAGCCAAAGTCAAGGTGAGGGCGAGGATTTCCTCTTCAATCCTCTTGTGGTTCTTCACAGGACTGGTGTGGAAGAGAGATAGTGATTTATTGTGTGTCTCTATAAGCAAAGGAACCTAATTTCCAATTGCTGCTCACCCACAAGGGTATTTATCACAGAACTGAAGGACCTCTGAGAAGGAGTTGGTTGAACCCCGAGTGCCTTTTCCCTTATTACATTTGGCAATATTTTTGCCTGGGATTAAAAAAAATTAAATTAACCCCAGCATTTTACATTGATAGGGTTTTCTGGTATTCAAGTGCCACCCACTAGTTTTTCAAGTTCAGCCATGGTTAGTTAAGTGTCTGTTGGGAGAATTTAAAATGCAGTTTAGTATTTGTTTTGTCTCTAAAGATAATGCCATTATTACCTGTCCAATGTCCAAAGTTTCAGGGAGGTCTTGCACCACTAAAGAGAGATGTCCACAATGAGACAGTAGGCATTTTCTGTGGGGGCTGCACATTTTGAAATCTTTTATCCCTAGAAGTCCATAAAGCTCCCTCCATTATAAATTTGACTTAGTGTTAAATAAATTTAAAGACAGTTTTGTTTCCCTGAGCTTTCAAGTGCAGCTAGATATTGTTGGTATTATCTTGTGGAAGAATTGATTATTTATTGTTTATGCGTGGTTACTGATGGGTTTTTTAAATAATAAAATAATAATTTTATTATTGCAGCTGCCATTTATCTTCTTGTAACCTGCCTAAAGTGCTTTGAGATAGGCATGCTATAAACATTGTGAAACAAACACTCTCTCATCTCTTTCTAGTAAATCTCTACTTGTTTATCACATATTCATTCTCTTGTTAGTATTGTTTCATAGTTACATCCTTGAGAGAAAATGGCTGCCCACTGATTGTCAGTTAAATTTTCAGAAACATATAAACCTAGGAATAGAAAACCTAGCCAGTGGACAGGCTATTGTAGAGTAAATGTTGATCGAACACAGCAAAGAGACAAACCATCAGAAACATTTAGTAGTGAGTCTTTCTCAGTGTGGAGGTGATGGTTAGTAATTGGAGAATTACTCAGCCATAGAAAATTGAACTGGATGGGTGAAGAAATTTGAACAAAAAACAAAACAAAACAAAATCATATAATGAATCGTTGAATATATACTTCTTCTTTGGTTTGTTCCTGACAATGGATGGTCAGTCACAACAATATGACAGACACAAGTAAAAAAAGTTATTGGTGTGCCAATCAGCATCCTCTGTGTGTTTAATAACTCTGTCTGTTTAGGTATTGAATATCCATATATACTATGTATTAAGGCTTTTCTGGCTCTAATAAATGTCTACATTCTGAATTCAGAGATTTATTATGGGATTTTTACATTTTTCATTTCTTCTTTGTCACCTTTGATAATATCTTTTGCTCCCCCAACTCATTAATTTAACTTTCTGTATGCCCTGAGGATCTCTGCCATTTACTCCTGTTGGATGTGCATGTTTTAGTAGCAGCATATGTTATACATATATTGCAGTATTTCGATTATACCAATAAGGAATAAGGGCAGAGGAATGTATTAGGTATGTATCACTGGTATAATATATAGTAATAGTATACCACAGGTAGTCCCTGACTTACAATAGTTCATTTAGTGACTGTTCAAAGTTAGAACATCACTGAGAAAAGTGACCTATGACCATTTTTTTACAGTTATGACTTTTTTTTTAGTATTCCATGGTCATGAGATCAAAATTCAGACACTTGGCAATTGGTTCATATTTATGATGGTTGCAGTGTTTATCCCCTTTTTTGCGTCCTTCTGACAAGCAAAGACAATAGGGAAGCCAGATTCACTTAACAACCATGCTACTAATTTAACAACTGCAGTGATTCACTTAACAACTGTGGCAAGAAAGGTAGTAAAATGGGGCAAACTTCACTTAACAAATGTCTCTCTTAGCAACATACATTTTGGACTCAGTTGTGGTCATAAGTCTACATGTATATGTATCCTACAATAGCCAAATGTGCCCCAATTTATAAACTCATCAGATTCACACATGCTTCACCAACAGGGATTATAAAAATATTAGATACTTCACTGTTGTAGAATTCCAGGGTTGTGACGTTTCACCAGACTGTGAAGAACTTTAAATAAATGAGTTTGGAGAGGAGAAACTGATCAATGGTGGCAAAACCCTACCCTTTTAATCATAGCTGGAAATGTTAAAAAAAAAACACCATAATTTGCTCTCTTCTATCCATGGAATAATAAAGTGATGTCAAATATAACATTTGAAAAATGAAAGGAATCTTTAAAAAAAAAATCACTAATGAGAATTACCTGAAATTATTGAAATTGCATGTTCCAGAAGTATCTACAATTTCATGTTTGGGGTCAGATGACACACAAATGTGTATGTGTGTGCGTGTGTGTGTGTGTGTTCATCCAACCTATCTGGAAAGGACCAACAGATCCCAAGTAAACTCTACATCAGTAACTGGCATAGAAAAAGCTCATGTCTATTATAGAAGTGTGCAAAGAGACAAGGTAAATGAAGAGGAAGTATGCAGGATCCAATCTGGGTCAGTCACTAGAGGTTTTGTCTTTCAAGCTTTCGGACTTGTGCTAGAGCCCATCTTCAAGGAACTTCTCTCTAGCAGAGTGTGTGCTGTTCTCTGTGTGGTATTTATAGTGCTGTGGTAAGTGGCTTTTTAGATGTTGATTGGGGTGTGTTTCCCATGGATTGCCCCTGTGACTATGTAGGAGAGGCGGGGAGGAAGCTAACCACCAGATTGCAAGAACACAAGCGAACAGTCAGACGAGGAGACCTGAACTCATGAGTAGCCTCACAGTGCAATGAACATTCAACTTTGCAGCAACTAAGATTGTTGGACAAGCAGGTACAAAAACAGTTAGGGAAGTGATTGAAGCCTGGGAAACAGGCTCCTTGTCAGTGAACAGGAGTGCTGATTTACCACCAGCCTATCAAGTACATAGAAGGTGAGGACTGGACAGCGCAAGCAAATGACAGCTAATGACTTAAAAGCCAGCCATCAATGCACCCCAATCAATATCTAAAAAGCCACTTACAACAGGCATTATAAATACCACACACAGAACAGCACACAGTCTGCTAGAGAGAAGTTCCCTGAAGATAGGCTGCAGCATGAGTCTGAAAGTTCAGAAGACAAAATCCTTGGTCCCAGTGACTGACCCAGATTGGATCCTGCAATATTATCCTGGGTCAGTATATTCGCCTTCATTTGGAAGAGGTAGTATAACTGTGCAGTACTTCCAAAGTAATCTTAAACAGATGTTCCAGAATATGAACATAAGTTCTTTAAAGCTGCCACACTTTTCATGAGTTCTCATGGTGGTCCACTGAAGGCTGCATGTGATCTCTGGAAAAAAAAAAGTGGATGTTTCAAAGAAGCCTCATACTGTGCAACACCTTTTTGGAATCAGATCTGAAGCACAGTATAGCCCTTATAAATAGCAAATAAAAATGACTATGAATGCCCTTGGTTTCATTCCAGTAAACTTTTTTTCCTGCCCTTAGTCTCTCACAAAACCCCTTCAAGTTTTTGAAGAACAATAGAGTTCCACAGACTACAGTTTGAAGAATGTTTGCTTAAGTAATTCGGCAGAAGCATTTCTCCTTGTACTGACCAGTTGTATTTCATTCCCGTGGTAATGCAAAAAAAACCTTGGGGTGTATTTTGGTGGATTTTTGGTGGATTTCTTATGGTTAACTTTAACTGTTCTCTTTATCTTGTTCTCTAACTCTAGATTCATGTTCCTTCTGTAATAGCAGTCTCAGTCATGTCTGACATCTTTTCCCTGTTTGTGCAGGCAAGTATTGGCAGAACCAGAGGGCAGAGTTAAAAGAGGGATCAGCCAGGAATCCCTATACAACCACAAACAGACTAAGTTCAATCCCCCCTTGAATTCTGGTGACCCTTATCTAACTCAGAATTGGAGAGGAATGCTGCCCCCTATAGTTGGCAACGTTCCTATATTCCCCTATAGTGGAATAAAATCTCCTTTCCTTATCTAATTCCAAGCAGGTGCTAACCGTTAGCTGAGAAGATCCCTGTGCATAGGCATGAGCAGGAATGCATCAGTTTAATTGGGCTTCACAATGGGTCTGATCTTTTCACACCTGACAGTTTGGATTCATTTCTTGGATATCAAAAGAAGCAGCAACACACAATAATTAATAAGCACAGTTAACTCATTTGGCAATTTCCAAAAATATATTTCAAGGGCAGAATAATCAAGGGTTGGTATTTTCTTCAACTGGTGATGTGGACAGTACCGGAAGAGGAACCAACATCTGCTAATGATGATGATTTTCAAGTACTGTGTTTAAAGCAATAGAGTGATTGCCATGTACTGTACATTTGTAATAGCTCTGCAAACAACTTACTGGAACAAGAAATTTTTTAATTTCTTCCAGGGCATGACTCATCCGTGAATAAGCTTCTCCAGGAGGGGCAAACACTTCAATTAATACATGTAGTTCATCACTCAAGTGTGCATATTTGGCTTCCTCACTTTTTCTTAGTTCTTCTTCCTGTGGAGAAGAGTATTTTTAGAAATCACTTTGCATTGATTTAACATTTGTAAATTGCAAACCAAAGGTCATAATCTAGGCAGACTTTCAGCAAAATGAGGCCCCATGAGAAACAACAAAATTATTGTATAAATTACTTGACGATCTGAAAATCACTTTGTGTGAATAATGAAAATTAGCATAATTAACATCTGCAACAGATTTTAATCAATAAAGCATAGAATGGTTAATGCCTCACAGAGTGTTGAAATTTTCACAATGCAAAAAATATCCCATTTCTAAAAAAAAAAAAGGGGGGGGGAAGGATCAATTCAGATTTATTTCACCAGTGATGTGATGAACTATAAAATATATTGTAAAGTGCTATTTATTTTGTTTGCTTTATATACCACTGTTCATCAAACAGAATTGTGCCCAGAATATTTTAGTAAAATAGGAAGAATCAAACTAAAAGAAACAATTATTAATAAAATAATCAAACAAATACTTTAAAAATAGCAGCATTTATTGCAATATCTAAAAGCATTTATCAAAACTAAAATGTAATAACATATGCCTCAAAAAAGGAGTCCTTGCAGATTTTACTCTGGTAGTCATTGCTGAATGTAGGAAGCAGTGCTCATCTCCATTTCAAGACCACTGAGTTAGCGCTGTCTATTTTCACGGTCATGTGGCCAGCATGATGTCACAGAGTGCCGTTATCTTCCCACCAAAGTACTTATTTATTTACTCACATTTGCATGCTTTCGAACAGCTGGATTGGCAGGAGCTGAGACAAGGATGGGAACTCACCCCATCACATGGCACTCAGGTCCCAAGCCTGGGCTGCTAGCTTTCCATCTTACTCACTGAGCCACCGAGCTGCCCCAATAATATGGGAGATATGAGAAAAACCACTCTTCTCTAGAAAGTCTAGAGAGCCTCAATGGCACAGTGGTTAGAAAGGAGTACTGCAGGCTATTTTGCTGCCTGCCGGCTGCCTGCAACTTGGCAGTTCAAATCTCATCAGGCTCAAGGTTGACTCAGCCTTCCATCCTTCCGAGGATGTTGGGGACAATATGCTGACTCTATAAACTGCTTGGAGAGGGCTCTAAAAGCACTGTGAAGCCGACTGTGAAGTCGACTACTGGGAGAAAAAAAATATTTTGGCTGTGGTACTGGATACACATTACAATAAGGGGAACTCAGCCAAAGCTTATGAAATATGCAAGCCTTGGCATGTTGGTATTATTCCTAATCTTGTGTTGCAGGTGCTTAGACAAAAAACCTGGTTTATATTTCCCCCATATTCCAACTAGTGCAATCTGTATAATGTCCAAAATAAATCAATATAATAATCAGAAGCTGAGCTCAAATCTAGGACACGTTTACCTCAAGCAGATTTCTTTAAACTTTTATGTGAAATAAAAACTTTATACTAAATGTTCTGTTAGTAAGATGTAAGGTAAGAAACAGTCTCCTTGGAAGAACCAGTGAAGGCTTTCTCTTGCCATTTCCCATATAATGGGAGTTTTATCTCTAGCACCACAAATCAATTGCTGTGGCATTTTACAGGTGTGGGGACAACTGCCAGGCCTTTAAGAAAAAAACAAGGAGACACACTGATAATTTCTTCCAATGGAAATGCTATTTACAAACTACTCTCTTTCCTCCACTAAGAAAAAAACATAAAATGAATATTTAGACATTATTAATTTGTATCCTGCACATTGGGCAAAGAAGCGTGTTGAGTAGTCAATCATTTTTATTTATTTATTTACAATCAAAGACTTGGTATTCCTTTTTCAAAGACCAGTAGACTTTCTAGACATTTCCTTCATAGCTCCGCATCCATCAATTCTAATCATTCATTAGGATTTGTAAAAAGAATAGGCTTCATGCACAAGGCTCTCCTGTAGTAAAAGTAGATTTCTACTTGTATGATGGAAATTTCTCTTTGCTTTCCCTCAAAGCTTGCAGAGGAGGTTTGAGGATATTCCAGAGCAGATATTTTAGGTGCATGAGATATCAGAGATGAACAGGAATTTCTGCTTCCCAGTTTTGTTGATGGAAAGAATTCTGCCAGTAGAAATACAGTACATACCATAAGTGACATTTTCATGGAAGAAATATGGAGTTGTATTTCTTGAGTTATGAGATGCCCAGGGTGGGTGTGTTTTTTCATGTAACATGTTTTGTTGTTCATTATTTTTAAATTTAGTTTTTTACTCCTAGCACAAAGAGAATAAACTATGTCAGCTACAGGGATGGTCAGTTTTTCTCTGTTCTGTGGTCATTTCATGGGAATGGGAGAGTTTTGATTCTACAGAATAAAATCTTTATTCAGACCAATTCCAGAATGGATCTCTTTTGTTTTCATCACTGACAGAGTTTGACTGTTGCACATTTATCATTGTTGGTGAAGACCTTGTTTTATTTTTTAATATTATCTTAAGACTAGATGTGCTATGCCCGGAGATGAGTAGTTATGCTAATTTGGGCACAGAATGTACTCACACCTGTCAAACAGACATGTGTAGGCACTGTAGTTTGTCAGTGTATAAGAATTCATGAACTGGAATAGCCATGGCAACAAATCAGCCAATGGGGACTGTTTGGTGACTGAAACACAGGATTTGTTGTGTGAGCCATGTGAGATGGCTTGGAACCTTGGTGTGGCTTAGCTGAACTGTTCTGTGCATAAGAGAGTCTTTGCTTGAGAGTACTTGCATTTGCTACTTCTTCTCTCTACCACGTTGCAAGAGCTGCATGGGTATTGTATACATGCATCATGTTTTATATTATTGTATATAAAGAAGTTTGTTCTATATAATTAATCCTGCTGAATTATTTGCTTGTGTGCTGGCTGGATCACTACAAACTGACACAGTTGTTGCACTAATAGTTCTGCAGCTCATACTTATATTGTGCTTCAGAAGTGCACCTTGCTTCATAAGTTTGACAGCCCTTGTGGATGAGGCCATGACAGGTAGAGCAGTTTTGTGCCAGCATTTCCCAGGAGCTTATATCTATATCAAGTAACTTCAGAGAGGTCTTTAGTCTTAGTGTCTTTGAAATGTTCCTCCTGCCCTCCCTGTGACCATCTTCTGGCAGAGAGTTTCCCCCAAAGAAGCTGATTGGATATGTGCTTTTTCAGCACATGGATGACCTTCCCATGTCAGAAAAGTGGCTGTCCATAAATGGCGACTGATGGTAGACATGCAACTTCATGTCTGGTACCTTGTCTTGCCATCTGATGCCTAATATCCTGCAAAAATTCCAGCTGTGTGGAAATGGTTGAGCAGTCTTGCATGCCTTTGACACACAGTCCATGTTTGCAGGCACATACACAAGGCTAATAAACTGTAAACTTTCAGTTCTATAACTGAGCTGATTCCTTGATATTCCCACACCAGTGGAGTACAGTCTACTGAAAGCAAAATGTATTGTTGTTATTCTGCAGTTAAATTCTACATCAATAGCTACTGCTCAGGAGAGAGTACTCCCAAGGTAATTGGACTGGTTACTGCCTGACATTTCTGACAGGGATTTTGGGTTCTATGCATGAGGAACAGGCTATCCATGACTTTGGTCTTTTGGAAGTCCCTGGTCATTATGCCATGATGGAAATGGCATATCATCTGAATGAATTTAGTGAGGCAGCCAAAATTTGACATGACCCTCCACTGGCCTTGCCAGCTAAGAATTTCAAAAATTTTCATGAAATTAACAAAGTCTCTATGGAGATTCTCAATCATCCAGTTGTCTCAATGAAGCTTTTGCATATCATCCAAGAAGCTTCTTCAGTTCTATCTGAATTAAATTAGAACTGAAGAAGTTTCTTGGGTGAGAAATGAAACATTTTCAAAAGAAAAAAAAAAAAACAAAGTCCAATTGCCTTTCGGATAAAGCACCACTGGGAGATCAATAAAAGCAAACATCATAGTTCTGCTCCTGACATTTCTGAAATTGGTGTGTAGCAAAGATCATGTCAATACTCCCAGCATCTCTGCAGAAGCTTCACTGTGACTCTGGCAGCAGGCACCACTCCAGGTGAGTGACCTGATGATGTAGCAGGACTTTTACAAGGGTATTTTCTGCAATGAGAGCATAGAGATTTCTAATGGAGCTTCCTAATAGATTTACTAATGGAGAAGTGTAGGTAAGTCCACTCAGTGTTCTTTCTATGAAAGGAGGAGATCCAACCAATATTGTGATTTATGGAATACTTGGGGATAATTAATATATTTACATTATTTTACTTTAGTCCTGGTCAACAAGAGCTGAAGCAGAAAATAGAGGTACAAATCCAAAGATTGTCAAATCTTTTCTACTGAATGCACATATGTTAGGTAGCCTTACAGAAAGTCTCATGTTGATTGTTGATTATTTTGTTCATGGATGAGGCAACACATGACTCAAGCAAAACAAAGAAAAACTTCAAAAGCAGCCTTCCTCATTATGAACTCAGGACTAACCACTATTGTTGTAAAGAGAGGAGAATGAGACAGAAATATTTGCCTGGAGCAATGCTTCCACTTTACATCTAATTATGTTAAGTTGTTCTGGTAGACTTCATATGTGACAAGCGTTCTGAATGATAATGTATCTCTGATGAGCCATGCAAAATTTGCAGGTTTTTCAGCCATTTAAGCACAATGCAAGAAACTATATCTGAAATGGATGTTTCTATTGAATTTTAAATAAGTTCTGAAGAGATCTATGTCTCTTTCTATTGAATCTAGCAATATTTACCCCATTTTTAATCAGAAACTGCTCTTCATGTGTACTTATTAAGAATTTCATGGCATACAAAACAATAATTAATTGTTCAACTAACGAAGTAGATGTAACTATTTAACATATCCAAGGCATGCAGTTTCTCAGTTGACTTTGAACTGTTGTCCCTAAAATGTTATTTTTCACAGCTGATTTGAAAGAAACCAGCATGAAGAGGGAACACACCCTATATGTTGCTCCCATTATTACAAAATCCCCCGTGTGGGGAATCAGTTAGAAGA